AATTGTAGTTTTTGATTTTAAAATGTTCTGAAATTTTAAAGTTTTAAAATTTTTCTTATATTCTGTTCTTAATGGAGTAATTACTAAAGTTTTAATATGATACATGGCAATCTTAAATTTTTCCAGTTTTGGTTTATTGGCAGTCCTGGAGCTTCTTTTCTATGATTACTAAAGATAATTAATACATTAAAAGATAATTAATGGTAGGACTATTAAAGTAAATTTTTAAAATAAATTAATAGTTTAAATAGAATTATGATTATACAAATAATATGCTATTAAAGTAATACTGTAGGGAATTCGGTTTGACCTTCTGCAGGTTATTTAAATTGGGAATTCCTCGATGGCTTTGGACCTTCCGAAAATTCATGTGAATGAATGTTTCTTGAGAGTTTCCGCCACTCTGTTTGCCCGTGGGGTTTTTAATTGTTTTTGGATTTTGAATGTTTGGTGTTGTGCTTCGTTGTTTGTATGTCTCTTCCTTATTTTTAGTTCGTTAATTAACCCCCAATTATTTTTAGTTAATTAGCTTCTTTTTCTCTCTTCTTTCCTTTTGTGGTCTTGAGGGGGTTGACCCTTTATAATCATATGCTCCTGTGGGACTAGGAGGATTGGGTCTTCCCTGTATTATGACTATTATGACCGGCTCTAACATGTCCTTACCTCCGGCAAACAAAAACTAAACTCTCACCTGAACTTAAAATCGTCTCTCAAGGCTCATGAGAATAACTGGGGTGGAACACTTCCAGTTGTTCTGCTTGGCATCCTGACAGCAATTAAGGAGGATATACAAACATCTTGTGCAGAACTTGTGTACGGCACAACTCAGGGCTGCCTAGCCACCTGATAACATCATCTACGATATCTTCATGCGACACTCGATTCATTACCAATCTCCGACATAAAATGCAGCAATTAATGCAACCTATAGTGGCATCTGCGCATTGCAGAGATATATATTATGCAAGTCCGCACCTAAAATCGTGCACACATATATACTTACTTATGTATTGATCGAGTCAAGCCACCGCTGTGCCAGCCGTACTCAGGTCCGAAACAGTCAGTCCTTAAGAGAAAACGGACAAAACGTCCACAATTCAAATAAACGGCATTAAATCTACGGTGTCCATCGACCGTATGAAACCAGCCTATTTGCTTTCAAACTCTGATTTACCTGAGCCGAAATCAGATAGAGACTTAAAGACACGAACTGTCACAAGATCGGGATAACATGTGCACTTCCCAAAGAAACTTGCTTCTTACATTACAATTTAAAAATATGTTTGAAATTTTATTTTTCACATATGTGTTAATTTTTTACTTTTATATGTGTGCATATTACCTAGTCATAATGTTGAATCGCATTTTGATTTTTCTTATTTTATATCCTATTTTTAAGGGAAAAAAAAAAAAGTACTCGAAGGCACGGATCCTCTTAATATTCATCCAATGTTGTTCCTTTGAACTGTCATCAAAGGAACTGGGGGAAAACTCTGTGGGGATAGTGATAAGGAGCACGCTTGGTGCCGCCACGTATGTAGTGAAAATATGGCAACCCTCGATAGAAGAGTAAAAGCGACCGGCTGTTTGAGAAGTAGCATGCATATTTGAAGTCTTGCAAAAAAGATCAATTTTTACTCGCTAATATGTCTGCTCAAAATTCTCGATGGATACAGAGAGAACTTTCAATGTAATATGCCCAATTAGAATTCTGTGGGATCCACAACAATCACTTCACTTTTACTTTCATCCACTACAGTCTCCTCAGGCACGACAATACCAAAAGATGCTAAAAAGTACCAGATTCTTCCTACGCAATTAAAATACTATATATATATATATATATATATATACCTTATTCAGCTTAAAAGTCCTTACTTGGCCTGCCCTTTATTTTCGCAATTGTTCGTGTCAATCATATGTATTTTTTTAAATATTGCAAACACAGAACATCAGTTCAAAGCAGTATCTTTATGAATACACACAGATTTTCATAGATAGTGATATCTTCCTAAACAAATTCCACAAAACATCTGTTTCAAAATAAACGAATATCCAAAACAATGGTTTTTAATGTCATATGAAGCATTATAATTTATGCAAGCATCAGATGAAAATGTTTTAAAACTTTCATTAGATAATGATGGTCAAAACGAAGTAGATTTAGAAGTGATTCCCTCAGAGCAAGACATTGTGACTGATAAGGAATGGAATAATGATGATGTTAGGTAATAATTTGCCAATGCCAAAAGATGTATTGTAAGAGATGAAAATTGTTTCATATAAAAATGTAAAAAAGAATGAGATTCATCAAAAAATGTTAAAAAATTCTGAACCAAAAGAAACTGCTTGAAAAATTGTTCTCCTGTACATGCAGTGATGCCTGTGAACAAAGAATCCATTAATATGCACAGAAATTACATGTTTCATGTACACTAATATCAAGCAAAAACTGCATTTAGCTGATACTAATTGCATCAGATAAAACCAAAAAACTAGCTAAGGTTCATCTCTATTTAAATATTTTAAATGCAAATTTCATGCAGTACGAGGTTTTTTGCCAACATATCTTTCAACAGATAAGCAAATGACACCTTACTTTGGTAGACGTTCACGTAAAATGTTTCGCAAAGGGACACTCACTCATTTCAAGCAAACAGTTCAGTGTTCCTATAAAGAGTACATACATCATTTTGATATATGTTCTAGAAAATCTTCAAAGACATTGACTGATCTTGGACACGTGGAGATGTTGTAACAGATATTTTAAATGTGGCAAAAGTTCATTCAAATTAGTACCTATATTTTGACAATTTTTTACATCACACATTTTGTTGAAATTGAATTAACTGAAATTTCATGTGCCTGGAACAATTCTTTAGAGCAGAATATGAAATTTTTCTATTATGTCTGTAAATAAAATGGAAAAAGGAGTGAAGCTTTTGACCCCGCATTTGATAAAGAGCATGGTATCGCAGTAATTCGATGGAATGATAATTCCATGATAGTTATGGCAACTACAATACAATTTACCCATCTTCAGTGGCCAACAAATACTCAAAAAAAGAAAACAAATCTGTACCCATAAAGCAAACTAAATTCGTCAGAAGTTACAGCACAAATATATGGATGGTGTGGACCTTCTGAGCAATTATACTGTGATGTACATAGACTGCAAGTAAAAGTAAGAAATGGTAGTGGCCTGTTTTTATGAACTTTATCGATATAGCTAAATCAAATCCATGGAAACATTAAAAGATTGCTGCAGACCTCAAAATTTAACTGTTACATTTTAGTGGCAGTACAACAAGTGCTGCACAGCCATTGCTGAAAGCAAGGGAAGAATATTTCGAAAATTCACAGCCTTCATCCTCATATACTGATTGTGTTGGCCGACCATTTTTCTTTCAGAATTTAGCCTTAAGCAAAATGACAAAGAATCCCTCAAATTTTATTAAAGAGAAAAGCTCAACAAACAAAAGTAAAAGACACAATTATTGTTATACAAATATATAGTCAAACAATAACTGTTTATAATAAATGTTATGTGCCTTTGTATATCAGATATTTCAAAGATTTCTGTGTAAGTAATTGGTTTTCGACTCATAAAGTAATTACTTCGACAAAGTAATTGGTTTTTGATTTTCAGATTTTATATCTTTAATAAAAATAAATATTTTTTCTTCCATTTTTTCTCTTAATTAGACTATAAAACATAAAAAAAAGATTATTTTTGTTCGGTACTTTTCCGTTTTGCCGGCGCAAACGATAAAGTCGCCAATAATGGTTTAACTGATGCCAGACGAAATATCTTCGCTGGTAACCTTTTACGCCTCAGTTTCAAAACAAGTTGAAGCCATTTCTTTTCAGATTGTTTCTTTCAATACTGGCATATAGAATTTTTACACGATATTTAAATTTTATCCCCTAAGACAATTCACGGTAATAAGTCAATTAGAACGCAATTACACCGCTCATCCGAAGGCGAAATCAAGTGTTAAATTCATCAATTCTAATGAGAATGCACTAGCAAAGTAAAGCACTGCGGTTTTACATAATTTCTGAGTAAGCTATTCGTACGAATTGAAATAATTCTTGCATTTAAACTTGTATTCCAAATTATGATTTAACTTGAAATTAATGTAGATAATTACTGAGCGAATTAGATTTTAGTAGCGTAGTTTACGTGAGATGAGATCACTTGGGGTCACGTGATACGAACCGGCGAATCAGGATTTTGAACCATGAAATCATAGTAAATTCTTAAATTAATGTCTTTTTACAAATTTATTGTCTTTATTTATTGGCTTTTTACAAAATTTTAAACCATATTAAAATGTTTATGCCTTCAAAATAAAAACAAAATTCTTAGAATTAACATTTTTTATGTGTATACTGTATGTTGTCGCCAACAAAGTCTGCTTGGCGAGATTTGCGCCGGCGAAACGGAAAAGTACCTTTTGTTCTTTTCCTTCAACTGAAAGGTAGTGCAATCGTTTAAGTTAGTAAAATGATAATTAATCGCTAAACCTTGCGACATACAGTATATGAATGCAAAAGTAATTGAACAATCCAACATGTCTTCTCTCTACCTGGAAAAAAGCAAATTGGTCTGATAATGTGGAATCAAAGTTGATGACAAATTACCATTATCAGCTGCATGATTCAATGGTGACACCAAAGTTAAAAACAATTTGTGTCAAAAATAGATCTGGTTACACATCACCATGAGGAGGTAACTTCTGCCATCTTTAGAAACATTTGTAATATAAGTGTCTTCACGCATAAAATCATAAAGCTATATAGATTTTTGTAAAAATTAAGGAAAATACTTAAATGTTGGAAAATGTTTGAACAACATTGTGTCCCTGCAATAGTAAATGCAACTTGAAACTATAACAGCATAACTTTTTATGAATGATCTGTGTTATGTTGGTTTAAAAATATATTTAAAAATTAATTTGCAATACTGTATGCAAAATCTTTAAGGAATTCAAAAATTTTTTTACAGAATTTATTACAGGAAAAATAAGACACATATCAATTTTTTACATCACACTGTACTGGTTTTTCCTCACAGAAAAAAATTCATTGTCTCCCTATGGCTGGTTGAACATTTGGCATAGGTTGTGCAGGTGTTTGTTCTCCACTATCAATTTGCTTGAGCAACCGAAAGAGAGCAGCTGCTTCTCGTATGTGACTAAATTCTATACAGAATGCTTGAACTTCTATAAATAGATCCTAAAAAAAGGTTTTAATTAAAAGAGGGAAGAGAAACAAAGACTTTAATCAACAAAATTCAAAATATTTAGCAAAGATTGTTCTAGTTTAAACAGGACCAAACTGCAATTGAGTCATCGTTTCTTCTTTAATGTAGTGACAACAGTTGCCATTGCAACATAAGATCTTTTATACGAGTATATCTTCCATGTGGCTTTGTGAATAGTGAAATATTTCCTTTAAATGTGATAAGATCTTTAAATGTTCAGCATCTTTCTACTTTCCTTATACAAATTTACTGTCGAAAAAGAAATGCAGAAATAAAAACAAGGGGAGGTTTATTTAAATGAATTTTTTAACTGAATTTAAATTTTATTCATTAACAGAGATTTGTTGTTATAAGTTGGAGATAAGAGGTACGATTTATGAAAAGAAGACAGCTATTTATCTGACTTTTAATATTTCTGCATTTCATGAGCGTAAAATTCTATGAATATGAAATTGATTAAAAAAAAAATCCTAAGGCAAAGAGAAAAATAACAGCACATATTTAAAAAAAATATTCTACATTTTTAGAATTGTAAAATATAAATGTTTTCTTTTGCCTTCATACTGTAAGCTCAGTATTGTTTTCTTTTCTATCATCCCCAATTTCTTCATGAAAAAGGCAAGTTTGATTTTCTTCAAAATATAATTCTTGTGTAAAAATTACTTGCTTTCTAAATAGATTTATTCATATATATTATACATACAAACGTACCCAAATGGCTTACTTAATACTTTTTTGTATATTTGGCATTATATAGCATTTTATATTAATTACATCACTAAAAATACATGTTCCATTTCCTGCATATCTGAGGTTTTCACAGATAAAATAAACTGTATCTAATCCAAATTATAACAGAAGAAATCCAAATTTTCCATTTTTTGCAAATAGGTTAACAATATTGAGATACATGTAATTTAAAAATGAAATTAAAATTACTCTTTCTACATTATAAGAAACAAAGATAAAAATGAAGAATAACCAATGAAAAGAATGAAATTAAGAAAATTTCTTATGTCTTCAGAAAGCTAATGAAAAACAATTATATGTAGGCAATTGAATTTTTTTAGAAAGGGGCAGACAATATCCATTAGCAAATTATTTGTAAGATATGTAAATTTGGCAACTTTTATGACTGCACACAATAAATTTTAGGTACAGCTGCAAATTATCTACCTCTCAAATCCACATTATGAACACGGAAAACCATGAAAATGCTCATGCAGCCTTTTTGGCTGGAATGGAAACCAGGTCAAAATACCAGTTTTCAGAGATTTTACCACTCGCCTACTGTAGAATAAATTTTGAAAGAAAGAAAATTCAAGCAGATGCTACATCATTATCATCATTTTCTACAATTTTAAAGTGGGGCTAAATTAACAAGAATACCGTCAACCACTATAGTTAGCATACAGAATGGAAGCTCTATAGCATGCTATTGTATTCAGATGGTTTACAGAATTTCATAGATATTAAAACTCAGAGACAAGTGGATCTTACTACCACAGTACATGCCAGGATTGGAACCAAAACTGTATGTCTCAATTTAGAAAAGATATGTGATTTATGCTTACCTATTAAAGTAACTTTTACTGCAAATGACAATTATGAAAACTATATGGCAAGATAAATTCTGTTACTGTAACATTTTGAAGTAGCTTGTGTTTAAAAAGGCCTAATAAAATCGCAAAATGTTAGGTCTAAAAAATAAGATTTGCTACTGGCCAAAAGAACTAGGTCAGGATGCCATGAAAAGTATTTAACTCGCTGAGCTGAAAGATAAAATAAATGGTAACTGATTCAAAATTCATTACATCAATACTTATATCCATAATCAATAATAGAAAATCCACAGAAGAACCAAAAGCTGAAATCAGAAAAATTTATATTAAGGGGAGAACATGTATTAGAAACCGCAATATAGCTTCATCTAATTTTAACTTTTCCAGTGCCAGAAGAGTGCAAAGCTGAAGTTTTTATATATCTAATTGGGTGAAAATGCAACAAACAGTTTTATTTATATTAGTAGAGATGATGCCAGAAATTACAAAGTAGTTAAAAATAAAATTTTAAAAGAACATCAGCCAACTACTCAAGCATGTTTAGATATGTTTCGAAAGACTAGATGCCAGTCAGAGGAAACACACTCGTAGTTCGCAGCATGGTTAATGATACAATCAAAATGTTTTGATGTTGAAAAAGGAATGTGTTTGATTTAAATACAGTTACTGAATTAACAAAGTAGTTAAAAATAAAATTTTAAAAGAACACTAGCCAACTACTCAAGCATGTTTAGATATGTTTCAAAAGACTGGATGTCAGTTAGAAAACACACACATAGTTTGCAGCATGGTCAACATTACAACCAAAGTGCACCTTAAGGAATGTGTTCGATTTAAATATACTGAATTAACTTTCATTGATCAGTTCATACAAATTCTTGATAATGAGATAGCCATCATTCTTAATCACGAGATAGCCATGCATACAAATGTAAAGCAAAGATGACACTTGGTTAAAATCTACAGAAATCAGAAAAGAATGTAACATAATCTTTACTTGCAAAAGAAAATCATTAAATGAGACTGGTAACTATTCTCAGAAAATGCCGAAACAGAAACCAAAAGTACTCGCTATGTATCCTCTTCAGTGCAAAAACTGGATGGTTTGTCCAAAATTTACAAAGTTAAAAAAAAATTGTTACATTTGAATCTTCCTTATTTACAGCTGAAGATTGTTAGAAAACATTTAAGCATGAAAATAAAAATAAAACTAATTCTGAAAATAGTAAATGAAAAAAAAATTGACCCTGTTGTAGTCCAGATCAACAAAGAATACACCCAAACAAAACAAATCATGCGGCCTCTGCAATATGTGAAAATACTGGTTGAAAATAAAGAAATTTATGACATTATTAATTCACGTACATTAGTTCTGATATTAAATAGAAATATTTTATCACAAAGATGATGAAAAATTAAAATTGATATCTATATACTACAAAGAAATAAAAGCAAAATCAGTACAGTTATTTATGTCTTTGACAGACGATGTTCTCGATTTAATAAGTTAACCCTGTAGATATTCTATTCTGGCTTAAGTGACTGATGTGTGAATTGTTAATTACCTATACAAAACTCTGAACTCTTGCACAACAAATGTGGTTTAATGGGGAGAACGAAACTCGAAGGTGGAGTGTAGAAAAGTTTAGACTACATGGAATCAAATGGGCCTGAAATAAGCATTCCTCCTTCATAGGAAAAGTCTAGAATGCAAAACAGCCATGATATATACGTCAAAGGTCATTCAGTAGAAAAAATACAGACATTTGAGAATGATGATAGTAGCGATGTACTGATATTGTGAGAGGAGCAGATGTCTTGCCCTACTTCAGAAGAAATAACAAGTAATTAAAGACAGGAAAAAAGAAACTTTATTGAACTTCATAACCTAATTTTTCATACGTAACGGAAGTTTCAGTTCAGCAGTTAGTTCTTCCAAAATATCAAAGAAAAGATGTCTCAAAATAAGCATGAATCTATTTTCAAGGCTCACATGAGGGGTATAAAGAAAAAAAAAAAAAAAAAAAAAGACATAATTTTTACTTGCCCAATATGGTTGGTTAAACATGTTAAAGAATACACGAATTTGTCAATTAAAAAGAATGATTCATGTAAATCATGCCAATTAAGAAGTATCGAAAAAATAACAGAATTCCTATTACCTCAGTTCTAAAACCTTACTTATATCATCCATGGTAATAAGTAGCCAAATCACAGCTCCTATAGAACCTTCTATGGCTAAAAAAAATAAACATGTTTTATGTCTAGTGGATCAACTTTCACGATAGTTGCATTCCTTAACAGTAAAAGATACATGTGATGCTCTGTTGGAAATATTTACAAGGAATCAGTTTTATTTTCCAACTGACACAAGAATTTTTTTTAAAACATATGTGATGCCATCCACAATTTCCAGTTCCAGGATACCCAGCTAGTAATGGTTTTAAACAGAGATACTACAATAATTTCAAAAATGCTTTTCATCATGGATTCATCTAATTGGAATAAATATCTAATATATTTGCTTTTTCCTCACAGAGAAGTTCCCAATTCTACTACGGAGGTTTTTTTTTTTTTTTTTTTAAGTTAATTTATTGGCCGAAAGATACATGGTCCACTGAGTCTAGTTGGAGTGGTGAGATTGCATTTCAATACAAAGTGATCAGCTGATGATTATTTATAGGAAATAAAGTTAGTATGCACAGCTGATCGAATATCGTTGACACATCGGCAGGCAACTCATTTAGTTTAATTGTCAAGCTATTCCTAAAGAATTTAAAATTAGGGGATAAAGTTTATTTACTCATTCCTGGTTCCTCTAATAAACTTTATGCAAGATGGACTAGTCCAAGCAGATATTCAAGTACTGTCCACTTCATTCAAATAAAGTAAAACTTTCCAGTGAGAAAATCAGACACGTTCACATAAATAAAATTGGAGAGTATATTGTTAAAGTATACATTGGAAAAATTAATTTTGAAAGTGAAAAAGAAATTAGAGAGATTCATGTAATTCCACAAGCTTCATCTCAAGATACAAAAGGTGTTCTCCAGAAATTGAAACTTTAACATACTAGTTTCAATTTCTATAGATCAGCAGATCAACAGTAGCAAATTTGTTATTCATAATAGAGCATGAATTATTATTTAGAGGTAAAATTAAAACTGAAAAAGTGGAGGGTCATAAAATAAATTTGAAACCCAACAAAAAAGGGGGTAAACCCACTTATTTACCTGATTCTAAGAATAGGCCAAAGCTAATGAATAAATTGAAGAGCTGACCAAACTTTATTTAATAGAAGAGAGAGTGGAGCTGAAATTTCATATTGTACAGTTGTATAAACAAGAAAGTTAAAGGAATTTGACTATGCGTTGATTATCGTGCATTAAATGCTGTAAAAATTACTGATGATTTTCCTACGTAAAATACAGCAGAACTTATGCATTTAGTAAGACAAAGTAATATATTATCAACATTGGATTTATTACAAGGATTCTGGCCTATTCCCATAGATCCTGAATGCCATGATTAGCCTTTGTTTAAAATCTTTCGACAACAATATAGATTTAAAGTTATAAGTTTTGGTCTTAAAAATGTTGCAAGTACATTTCAAAGGGAAATCAATCGGTGAATGCAGAGATTTTGCTTTTTCCTCAGTCATCAGTAGGGCTGGATTAACCATTAAGCAATATAAACACATGCTTGGGGAATCAAGGAAAGGGGGCACCAGAAATAGGCTCTTAGGTAAAGGGGGCAGCAAAATATTTCCCACTGCCTGTTTTACCACGGAATGCATTTCATGGTAAAACAGGCAGTAAGAAATATTTTGTTGCCCCTTTTAAGACAACTTCTGTCTTCTAAACAGAAAGACAGAAAAAGGACGAAAAAAACTGGCATAAACATAGGTGAGTCACCAAAATCTTTTAAGTGCTCAGGGCCTCTAAAAGTATTAATCTGGCTTTGGTCTTCAGTAGCTCAAAAATTATTAACTCATTTACTTAAAACACGTTAAAATATAACCTACTTTCAGCTCTTATCTTCTCACTTATCAGTAAATCAAAAGCAATTAACATATTTTTGGGAAAAGTAAACACATTAAACAGGCAACCTAATCACAGCTTTCCTCATGAAGAATAAACTAATTAAGTGATTATTATTAGCATAAACGTCATTCCCATTTCAAATATAAGGCTCGTGACAATAGTGAATACAACAAGAGTTATTTAAATTATATTGCAAAATAAATAATACCACAAACAGCAGTAATTATCTTACAGAACTGCAGCATATATCTTAAAATTAATTCAAAATCTACCTGCTCTTATAGTTTTTTGTATGCAGCCAAACTTACTCCAGCAGTAGCTAAACAAAAAGGACATGTACTTCATTTTGCCAATTTAAGTACTTTACATTAGGACTGATGCTGGCAATTTATCCCTATTCTTGGCAGCATTTAAAAATTGGGAGGGGGACAATCAAAATGAGAATGTTCCACAATTTACTTTTTAATTTCAGGTTTTGTCCAGCTGGTTCTTCTTAATTACACAATCTTTGAGAAAATACATAAAATATACAAAAAATATTTCATACTTTTTTGCTAATCTACTTGGTTATTCACTAATATAACAACATCATTCATAATTTTAATTCTTAATTCATACATTTAAAATTACAAATCTGAAAACAATCAATGATTACATACCTGTACATCAATAATTTTGTGTCTTATCAATGACTGCAAAAACACACAAACTAAACGAACCAATCTATTTTGCATATATTTGTCTTTTGTTGTTTGACAAGTATGAATACAGTTAGATATGTACAGGTGAATAAATTCTGATGGCAAATCAACACTCTGAAATAAAGTATGGTCTTAGTATTTAAAATGCAAAACATGCATTTAGTTGCAGTTAAATAATAAGGAAACGAATTATGTTAACTTTTAATCTGTAAAAAAACACCTTTAAAAATTTATATAATAAAAAAAATCATATCAAAATACAGGTATTTATTCTCAACATATAAAATGATTAGTTTATAATTGGCATTACACTTTTTTCATCAAGGAAAAGAAAAAGGGGAAAAATTGTTCCGGTAGTAATCAATGAATCGTTAACAATCATACAGAATCATTACGATAGTTCTTGAAGTAAGAACGTGTATGGGTTTTCATGTAACAATATACTATTAGAATTTGTTGGAAACCTTCATTTGAATACGTGTCTCAAAATATTAATGACTTAATCGAAAAATGAATATGAGTTTATATTGAAAATAAAATATTATAAAAATATATTAAACTTACTTTTTTCAACACATTATTTCCCCCATCAACTTTAATATTGGGTTTTAACCAAACTTTCCTGCCACTGTCAATATCGTCTGCACAAACAGTTTGTATTGGCATGTTTAATCATATTTTGCCAAATGACTTTTACCATTTGAAAGAAAGAGACTTGCTTTAGTACACTGTGTTGTGAAATTTGTAAAAAAATATCATTAAGTACAAGATGTCTGAAATGGAACTATCAAGCTACCAGATTAGAACCATCATTTACTTTCAGTTCTGTTGTTCTACAGAATGTCACCAAATCATGTGTAGAGCTTTAGGGATTAATGTTAATTATGATTTATTTATAATTCATTATACTATGATCTGTTATTGTTTACTTTCCCATAATAAGCACTCCTTTTTAAAACAGCAGCAGATGGAAAAAAAAAAAAAATTAACAATTATTCAACAATCTCCACTTTACAATCTAACAATTAGATAAATGCTGTATGTTTAGGATTTCTATGATCTTATTTTATAGCCTATTCATACTTTGGAAAAAGCATCATAAAAACAGTCACAAATAGCAAGATCTCCATAAGAAGATTCTCAGAGTACTTTCTCAGTAGTACATTCTGAAAGCACTCTCTCAGAAATGTTTTTCTCCGTAGAGTTGTTGGTTGACAACCATACTTTTTGCCTACAATTCTCCATTATTTGTCTTTATAACCAAGACAATTAGATTAAGCAGGTGTCACTGCTGTACACTTTCAGAATCCTAATGGCTCACAATACAATAAAAGTGTCTAATCATGAGCAAGTTTTCTGCAAGTATCTTAATTTAACATATAAATACATTATGAATAAAACTATTATTTGCAAATTTTGCGAGATGTTGACTGATTTAGAATTTCATTTTTCAAAATAAAAAACAAGATCTGAAGAAGCAGCAGAAGGCTGATTAAATAGCAACAAAAAACAGTTAATTTTAAAAAATGAAAACTGATAAGTTATAAAGCAATGGCATCTAATAATAAAGCCATAAAATATAGAAATGTAATAAAATTTTATTCCATATCAAAGCATTTAGTATACAAAATTTACCAGAATATTTTTGTGTAAGATATGTTTTATTTATTTTTATTAGCAATCAGATTTTTCAGTAGGATTACTAATAATTACTAGATTGGAGAAAGGCCAAAATATAACCAAGTATATAATTGCAAACATTTTTTTAAATTAAAGCAGTGCAGTAAACAATTTGTAAAAAATGTAACAGTTTTCAGCAGCATATTTGAAATGCATAACAGACTGGAATATGAAACATAAAAGTTTATTCACCTTTCAAGAAAGACTGTATACTTACTGTTGTCAATTTGTTTACTACTTCCATACTATGTAATGACATTTCCATGTTCACTAAAACTGAAAAGTAACTGAAAAAAAAAGGGGGGGTAATATTAAAAACTGAACATACTGAATACAAAATCGTATCGTGAATTTATCATAACATAATGATCATGGCCCAATAATATAAATACTTATTGGGCCAGAAAGCAACATTTAAACATGAATCAAGGTGGGCATTACAATAAAATAACAAGTATGGATCTAACTGCATTTTGTTAATTTGCTTTAATCTTTTAAGCCAATTCTTGTTTATTAACCCAAAGGGTGTTAGCCAGAAGGGCTAATTTCGTTCTGTTATTTTGTGTCAAAAACTTTAAATGTTTTTTTTTTTTCCCTTTTCAAATTGTTACCACCAAATATTATCATCCTGTGTTATATTTAAAGAAAATAAATAATGGAGAATCTGCATAAATATATGCATTTTCACCAAATATGGGCATCTGGAAGCACTAATTTGGAATTTGTTTTATTACAGGTTTCATATTTTGTAACACTTCAACGAATTTTTGATTAACAATCTTAACAATTTCAAAGTGAGCAATGGCGATAATGTATGGAAAAAAAAAAAAAACATTTTTATCTCCAACACATGAGACTGTGTATTGGAAATTCTAAAGATATGCTCATTTTAAAGTTATTTTGCGATATTGCTGTTGAATTGAATTTTATGGTTTAAGTGCAAAGATCATGATATTTAATAAATAAAGGTAACACACAGAATGTTTACAAAATGTCTCTTTGGACGTAATGTAAAATCCAAAAGCTTTCAGATTCTTAAAACTTTTTTTTTTCTTTATTTTTATTTCATTAATTACAATGAATGGGCAGGTAATTTTAACTACATAATGAATACACATTTTTTCAAAATAGAAAACTGTAGATACAAAAAAAAAAAAATTAAGTTTGCAAATGAACAAATTAATACAAATACTCAAAGGGGAAAAAAAAAGCAAAAAAGCTAAAATGTTAAATACACATAATGTTGGGTATTATTGATGTGTGTGGGGGAGGAGGGGAGAAATAAATTTATACTACTTTTTTCATTTACTACTTTGAAGCACATACTTAAATTTATTCATTACTTGAATTTAATTTTTACAATATTAAGCTTATTATATAAGTTTTTAATTTAAAATAAATGGCAAATCCAATTTTTATTGAAAATATATTCTAAGAGAAATAATACAACAAAAGAATCAAAATATCACTAAAAACATACTCAGTTATTTGGTTAGAAGATGTAAGTCTTAATAATACTTCAAAAGCTACTGCAGGACTATTTTCAACTAAATCAGGAAGCTAGAACAGAAAAGTTCTTGTTAATAAGCAACAGCAGATTGTAATCCATCAAAATAGCCCAAGCCATAACAGCTCCAACAGAACAGCCCAGGACTATATACAGCCCATGCCAAAATGGCTTTCAAGAGTAAATAATTAGAGTTTAATAATACATGAGACTATTTAAAGCTTTATAGAACACATTAATGTTGGGTATTATAAAAGAGAAAATAATTATTGTTGCATATAATAAGCCACAATGATCTACACTAGGCAATTAAAATAATTATCTTTGGATGAAATTAATATCAGATATCATAAAAAAGTAATTATTGTTACAGTCAATAAGCCATAACTGTCTTGGCAATGGCTGCATTAACATTTAAACAGCAATAAAGTTTCAAAAGGTTTCAGTTATAAAGATGGGAAATGCGAATGCACTTCTAACCCTTTTCAGGTGGCATTATGCGAACATGGAACATACAGACTTTCTTCACAGCATTGCAAATAATCTAAAAAATTACTGTTGCATGATTACATACCTGTACATCAATAATTTTGTGTGTTATCAATGACTGCAAAAACACACAAACTAAACGAACCAATCTATTTTGCATATATTTGTCTTTTGTTGTTTGACAAGTATGAATACAGTTAGATATGTACAAGTGAATAAATTCTGATGGCAAATCAACACTCTGAAATAAAGTACGGTCTTAGTATTTAAAATGCAAAACATGCATTTAGTGTATGTTTTAAAAATGTATGTTTTGTATATTATTTTTTAATAAATATTCAGAATTTGAATTTCCGCTGTTTTGTCAGGGCTTTTAGATAAATGCTAGACTTAGGCTATTTTGATGGAGAACCAAGTAAAAGCTGTAAATATTCTCATAGATTAATAAATGATAATTATTGAACTTTGAAAGCCATTTTGTCATGGCTTTTATAGCTCAGGCTATTTTGATAGAGTACTACAACAGATATAAATTTTTCTTTTTAGCATGCAGTTTAAAGAAGTTATAATCACAATATACAATGAAAGACATTTTGGTTAATTATTATACAATAGACCAGCATTCCCCAACCTTTTCATTCTTATGGAACCCTTGTGACAATATGTTCAGGTTCTATTGAACTCCAGTATCTGTGTAACAATTTTTTCATGTAACAATATTTATATTAATATTTTTATTAACATTCAATTATTAACAATTAATGGAAACAAAAAAAGTTACTACCATTTTAATTGTTTATTTCAAAACAAAATTATGCAATTACATATACTTGGTATAATTCTAAATACAATTAGAGATAAATAATAATTTTTTTAGTATATCAATTTATAACAAATATTAAAGTGAAATCTGCACCTTTTTTGAAATGGGTGGGAATGTTGAATTTGGGGTTTGATTTCAATATACAAATGTGAACTTCACCTTCCACACAAAGTAGACGATTTCTAGCCTTACTTTTAATACTTGTTAGACAAGAAAAAGCTTGTTCACTCATATACAATGTTGAAAACTGCAGAAATAAATTGCTTTCCCATGAATTTTCGTAAACTCACTTTCAATGAAAATTCAGAATTTGTCCAACATCTTGTCTTTAAATCTCATTTTCAATGATACATTCAATTGTAAGTCACAAAAATCTTCTTTTAAAGTTAGCTTCTGAGGATGAGCAGACGTGCTAGAGAATGGATTCCTCACCCAATCTTATAGTTCTGTTGACAGGGATGAAAAATAATAATAAATTTTCTTTGACAACTCTTCTACATTGGAAGCAATAAAACTTGAAATTTGTTGGTATCCATCTTAGCTTTTTAATCCCACCAGTAATTCAAACATTTCAAGATTCCCCTTTAAGACATGATTTCCTTTCTTTTAAGATATTTCTTAATTTTCTTGTACATCCAAGAATCTTGTTACTTGAATTTACTACATTTTCTCCGCTGCCTTGCAGTAACTTATTCAGCTGATTCAAATGATGAAAAATATCTGCTAAGTAAGTTAGTATCTACACCCACATTCGATCCTCAAAGCATTTAGTAAAATATTTTTTGTTGTTTTGTTGAAAATACGCATGCATTTCTTGCTTTAGCTTGCAAATCCGATTAAAGACTCTGCCTCTACTTATCCATAGGATTTCAGTGTATAACAATAGATTTAAGTGCTTTTTATCCATGTTTTACATAGTTTTTAAAAATTCTGGAGTGAAGTGGCTTTTATTTAATGAAATTAACCATTTTGATAACATCATCAAGTAGCCTTTGTAATTCATTAAGAGATTATAAGTTTTCAATGAATAAAACAGTACATGGAAACGGCATTGGTGTGTCCCCCCCCATAAAGGTAAAGCCTTTCATGCAGCCAACCACAAAAGCAGCTCCATTCATACAAATGTCAATATAATTCTTCTAAGAAAGATTCCCCCCCCTAGATATGCAGATAAAATACTAAATATATCTATTCCTTTGCTTGTCTCAAGTAATTCTTTACAGTAGAGGAAGTTTTCTAACATTAACAAATCTCACAAATGCTAGAAGAGAACAGTTTGAAAGTGGAATATTTTCAATTTTCAAAAGTGAAATATTTCAATCTTCTACCAACATTTTACCCCATATAATTTTATATGTGTGCATTCTCTCCGAATGTGTGACTCTTACGTGCAATAAGCTCTGCTACCAAATAACTTGCTTTCTGAACGTTTTCACTAGCTGTGAATGTGTTTACAGAAACTGTAGTCAGTTTACTTTGAGATTTTAACAGAGTTTTAAAATAATCAATAGTTTTATTTTTCATATTAGTATAGTTGGCTATGAAATGTCAGTTCAGTTTTGTTTGAGCATTTGAAAGTTTATTACCACAAATGACACACAGTAGAAATGGGCATTCTGGATCATCAGTCTTTGTAAAGTCCATTTATAAATTACTCATTGCCACAATGAACCTTTTTGTACCTCTTTCTTTATCAGTCTTTAAATACTGATAAAATTCCTCTTTCTTTTAAAATTTTGGGCAAGATTCTAAATCTTCACCACTAGTCTTTTCAAAATTATCCAGACTTTTTTTTTTTTTTTTTTTTTTTTTTTTTTTTTTTTTTTTTTTTGTTCTCCAGTATCACCACGTTTTAAACATTAAAATCTATAAAAGAATTAAAAAGTGAGAAAAAAAACCAAATAAAATAGCAATCAAAATAATAATAAAATAAATACTAGTGAAATAAAAAATTCACACTAAAACTTTGTTTAATAGCCATATGATCCTACACTTCTTGCATCACTAATGCATACACAGTCACACTAGATTCTAGTCCATGACAATTGGAAAATTGTCTTTGGCTGATTGGCCATGCTCGGTTAGACTCGTGTTGCATGAACAGCTTTGCAATGCCAAAGTACAGTAAAATGAAAACTCTAAGTTAATTTCCTTCCCTTTAAAAACAAAATTATCATTCCTTTTTACAACAGAATTGGTAGTGCAAGTAAGACAGAATTTCATATAACTGTTGATTACTTCTGTTAAATCTAACCAACCATAGCCAAACAGCAAAAGGCAACTTTACAATTATCATGGGCTAGATCCTTGTCATCATCCGCGCTTCCCCCACCGAAGTTACCCGAGTACAATACGGAATCAGAAAAAAAAAAAAAAGAAAATTGTTTTCCCTTTTTATGACATATGTCCTATTTCCTTATTCCTTGTGGAAATTTTAACAATGTTTCATGGAATATTAGGGTTCCCACAAACCCTGGTTGGAAAATGCTGCAATAAACCCACAACACTGTATTCAATTATGCAATTTATTTTCTTTAAATCTGACAAGGTTTTTAGTTATTTTATACATGAAAATTGGAAAAACAGGAAAAGATTAAGGACTTGTCAGCAAACAAAATTTAATAAATTAAAGCAACTGTATACACAACTACATTCAATCTTGCAGTTCTATTATGAGCATAAAATAGAAATATGTTTTATGCATTATTATCAAACACAATCTAATACTGAACATAAAACAATATACTATGGATTACTAGCAAGCAATCTCTTAACAAAAAACACAAGTTTAATAAAATCGAATTTGAGAGTAAAATCCACTCCCTAAAAGCTTTTTAGCAAATACTAAATTATGAATATAATTTCTTGAAACACCCATACTACTTCACACATATTTTAAAAAAATATTTATACTTTTAAAAAATTCTTTTATTTTAAAAAATATTTGTTACAAACAGCACTATTAAAATCACAATCTAATGAAACTTTGTAAGAAATGGATAATTATGCATATAATTTATTATGCTGGTTAAAAAAGTATACTGGAATAATCATACATTAAAAGATACAAGAGATCTTATAACACTACAAAATATTTGGATTGTGATAAGGTCGCACAGAGGTTCTTTGTCTAGGATGAAATGATTTCAGAATGCACTGATATCTCTTGATAGCTCTTTCAGATCAGTGGTAAAATCCTGTTGCAATGAGGGACCTTTGTTAATGATTTCGGTTGCAGCGTCGAAGGTCACTCCAAGGAACAAAGAGATAAAAGAAGTCTTTTTATCAGGTGAATATGGACACCTCTGTTATGTAGGAGTGAAGGAATCTTGCCTTCGGGAGTTTAGCACAGGTAACAACTCAATGATATATAAAGGTGGTTTCCTGAGAAGTGCGAGAATTTTTCTGCTGGAGCTATGGGCATGTTGTCCCACTAGAACTATCACGCCTCGCATATAACGATAGTAGCGATAGAGCATTTTTCATGTTAACAAAGTTCTGAAATTACGGGACTGAATATATCCAAGTCCCACATCCTCTGGATATGCATTTATTAATGTTTTTATTTTGTTAAAATTCATGTTATTGCTATAACTTGAGTTAGAAGTTCATTTCAACCTGTATTATAACCCAGGGTTTGTGTGTTGTAATTTCGGCCACTACACCACAGCATCTTTTAAATCTGACACTTTTTGGGGTATTGGAGCTTAATCATCCTTACTTCTTTCTTCTTTTAATTAC